CAACTGTCTTATTTCTGTGTGTAAACAGTACTACAATACATTTTCTTAGCTCAGTAATATCAAGCATTTGTTTTGAAAGATGATAGTGTACTTTTATGAGCTATTTTAATGTAAAGTATCTTGTTATATTTGGCACAGCGTATATGCTGTATATACTGTATACAGAAGTAGTGTATTGTATATGGGTCCTGCTGACCCAGTTTACGCCCGTAATTATACGTGTGTATGCGTATACGCTACGTGCGGAGCACTACGAGTCAGTAATAACAATATTTTGCCGCTCGGTCGAAGCAATTATCATCACTCACCAGAACCTTGCTTGCTGTTGGTTATAAATATTATAAGCTGTGATCACTGTATAAGACTTCTGAATAAACATCAATCTAACTTTGTTTGTTCTATACACTCGAGTGTGATGCATGGTGCATATTTGCAGTATTCTGCACCCTGCCTTACTAGTAACTAGACAAATAATCTGAACAGAATATACACATAAAAAGAGTTCTGTTATGTTTAATCAACCAGAAGCACTAAGTTGAGAATTAAAAACCCTCACAGTATAATCTAACCCAGCTTATCTCAGATACTTCATGTACCTCCTCAGTTTCTCTGTCTGTGTCTATTGAATCAGTGTTGATTTCTTGTCTGCTGAGACTAGGTTGACGCCTTTGCTGTTTGCTAGCGTTTCTGATAACAAATACAAGCATGGATCTGATGCCCACATTCCAGGTTCAGAAGCTGGTGGTGATGTAGAGTATTCCTTACTTCTTTATTCTTTGCATATGAACGATTGCAGATTTTTCAGGCGCTCCCTGGTGCTCTACAACTACAACGATTCATTCCTTACATGACGGATATTGCGTCAACGTTCCAATTGATTTCTATAAGACTGGGAATGCGAAGACTGCCCTGAAATGCAACAACTGTGTTGATAAATATGTTTTGATCCGGAAATTTTATTCAGATGGTGTAGCCGTACATTCAAAATAGGATGACGTTATATGGCACCAAAAAAAATAAGGGGCTTGGTTATGTCAAGATCTCCGTAATCGTTAAAGCAAATTATATTGTATAGTGACAACATATATTTATACATGCAATTACTTGTGATGCAAAGGAGTCGTGTCAAGAAACGTGGGTACAGTTAATAAAGTGCAAAATGAATTAATACCAAAGAGACAGGCAAAGAGGCAGACAAAGAATCAGCGTGCATGAAGCAGAATGAAGACACCGAATCGATTCAAGACAATCTAAGTAGGAAGCAGAACACAAACTACAAGACGAAAGAGCTGAAACACCTTATGCAGAGGTTTCTCGCTTTTCATGATGCGTAGCACCTGCCGTACCTGCTGCACCACGTAGATACGCGTAGTGTGTCGCAACAACTACCTTGGCTAATGACAGCAGGCCGAAGTTAATCCATGCGAATGCGACAAGTGTGAGCAAAACATGCCCATCACGGCCGGAGCCTGTAAACGCCCTTGTAGGCCATTTATGCTACAAATAATCGAGTTATTAGTATTAAAGCCGATCACTTAACATTAGTACGTACAGTTGCGATAGCAGCTTCAATAAGCCACATTATCCACAGGATGGTGTTTCCTGCCGACTCGAAGTGCAAAGGCTTGTAACCTTCTCCTGCGCTAAGTGACTTTGATTTGAATACGTGAAGGAAAGTGGTGATCGGAACCCAAATAATTGTGAGGATAGAAGAAACGAGAAGTGCGACTACGATTGGATCTAATGGCATACAAATAAGCTTTAGTCCCAAAGGAGGAGTAAAGAGAATGGTAAGACATACCATAAAAACTTGCTGTACTCTTTGTGTGGTGTACGCGCCAGCCTGTCAGCCCTAGCTCAATCACAGCGGCAACCCACTAAGAAAACACAGACAAGGGGTGAGTCTTGTTGACTTCTCACATTGTTAAACCCTTACCAGAAGAGAATAGAGGATAGCGCGGTGGAATACAAATGAAGCGAAACCCATTGTCAAAAGATGTTGCGAGTCAATAGGCAAGTATAGGAGAGCTGGACTAAGAGACACTGCTCGGGTGAGAGGGGACTTGGTAGAAGTTCAAAAAGATAACGGTAAGAGCCTTGAGTTGGTTGCCCTTTTATCCTTCTCGGAAGGATCCAAGTCCATGGATTCAGTCAGGAGGCCAAAGCCGAACGATCTCGAACATGCAAGACAGTTTCGGGGCGGCCTCCAAAGCTTGTTCGCGCATGCAAGCTGAATCGGATGACCAACCCGACTAACGTGGTCATGATGGCGCGATTCGGACAGAGTCGCGAAGGTAGAATCCTCGGTTTAGTCAGGTCAGATAGTCAGAATGAACTCGGTAAGCACCGCTGGAATGATCGTAAGAGTGAGACATGCAAGCTGACCCTTCGGTATGACGCAACCGAGAAGCGGATCTTTAAAGCCATTGACAAATCGTGCATGACAAATCCTCACTCAGGACCCTAAACATTTCAGAATTTATACCGTTCCTCACACCTCCAGTGATCTAACATGGTCAGTGAATGATTTTTTGAAGAAAGAGTTGGAGATTAAATGCTTGATTTTCTTCAATCCCACCAAGCCAGTAATAGCTCCGATGAATCCGCCGTTGCATGTCGGCCATCGACACAAACTCTAGTTTAGTTCCGTTCGATTCCGCTCGGATGAGTAATTTCGTGTTGAGAATAAGCAACAAGGTGGGGCACGTAACTGCCACATGTCCAAGATGCCAAACTCCATATAGTAAGGTGATACAGAGATATCATACATACTACAATAAATCATATGCTCAAGAATGAATAGGAAGAAGTTTAAAGCAGGTATACTGAATAATTTAACAATACAAGGGTACTAGCCGTGGAATGGACGAACTCTAAACTATAACATCTCGGGAAAGTGACTCACTGCATCTCAGATACATGTCATCACGTCATCCAGACACGAGGGATCACAAGCAACGATACGGATTATTCGAGGCAAATGATATCCGCGGTTGGTCACCCTGGCCGTTATCATTTTCATTTACCCTCTCCTTTGACGAAGACGAAGACCCAGTGCCAAGTCTATCCGTACTATCTTCAGCATCGTCGTGTCCATTACCACTGTATGATCGAGGTGTCGTGCCAACGGATGGACCGATATGAAACGAAGCTTCCGGCATTCTGAGCATTGAGGATCGATTGAACTGAGAAGAGGATGGAGGGGGAGGGCCAGGGGGAGGAGCATATAAATTTGTACGTGTCCTAGGGGCGATTTCTCGGGTCTGGCTAAAGGATGATGCCACTAAAGATTCGACTTGCAGATGTTCATGAATTGATTCTGCCTTCGGAAAGGACGGCGGTACATCAGGATCTGCCTTGTATTGTGGTGGCACGGATTTTCTTCGTGCACAGGAACTGGCATTGAGACAAGTCCTTGATTATCACCCGAAGCAAGTATCCGTGAACCTTCCTCAGGTTGGCGGGCGTACGTCGGTAGTTGTGGTGCATCAGTACCTCTGTCGGCTAGTCCGTCCGCACTTGAATGAGTAAACACTCGCACCCCACCATCCTCTCGGATGCGTGCTAAGATCTCTCGACGAATTGCAACGAGCTGTCGACGACGCGAAGTCAAAAATTCGCGTGCATCCTTTGCCTCCTGCGTGAGATTCTTAACTCGCTCTTCACTCGCAGTACATTCCCGATCGATTGCTTGTTGATAATCACGTACAGATCCAATAGACTGCTTGATTTTTTCTAGGGGAAGTTAGAACAAATTCAACAGTCAATACCTTTGATATAACTTACGTTGGAACATGAAATCCTGAATAATATCCGCTTGTCAGAAAGCAGCATGTAAATTATTCAATGAAACAGCTTACAGTATACATGTTGTCGAAGACGACGTGAACCCATTCACTACAACTCACTGAGTTAGACATCCACGACATTCATTTCTGCAATACTCACGGCGATACTATCTTTCCAGGAAGAATAGGGTGCACGAGCGGTTGCAAGCCTCTCGCACGCTGCATCAGGCGATGTGCTTGTGCAGCCAACGTTTGAGCACGGAGAAGATCGTCTGCTTCCGCCATTTGAGCCCATGCACCACCAATTTGCCATGTATCATAGGTTGCTGAAAGATTCGCCTAATGAAAAGGATGAGAATAGTTTCTTCTATGGAAGGTTCTACAACATACATTTTGCAGTGCTAACTGGGCCTGATTTGCGCACGAAGCTGCTTGATCGAGAATGTCGAGGACGTTCTTCTCATGACTGAATCTCATTTGCACCTATACATAAAGCCATAGTCGTCAGAACAGGTTAAGAAAATGAAAGAGCAAAAGACACACGTGCTCAAAGTTCACTTCAGCTTCGTGAAGTTCATCTGTAGTTCCAACTACAATTGAGCAGTTTGTCGATAATTGAACTAGTTTACACGTACCTTCAGCTGCATCTTCCTCAGGAAAGTCTAAAGATTTGTACATCAATATACTACTGTAAACGAACGCAGATTCAAACGCACCTGGGGATGGTCCGTCAAACGCAGATTCATATAGCTCATTGAGCTTCCGTAACATTTCTTTCCGAAGCGATACCTTCGATTCAAGCTCGGCTTTCTAATGACAATCTAAGCACTAGCAACTCTCACATGGAATGATGGTGACTTACCTTCGTCCTTGCATCTTCCGCAGCTGCCTTGAGCTCTGAAAGAGCCATGTTTTCGTTGTGTTCATTCTGTGCGGCCTCAATATATTCTCGCTCCTCCTTCGCCAGCTTGCGTTCAAGACCTTCCTTCCCTCCATGCTTTATCCTCGTGAAAAATCGTTTTGTGCTACTTCGCTGTAGCTTGTCAAGATCCTTGTGCTCTGCTTTCCTATGTTCGCAGTCCACCACTTCGTAAGTGGCACATACAGACAGTAGTCATATAATTGAAACTCACCTCTTCTCAATCAACTTCTTCATGCGCGACTCTCGTACGCTCAAGTCGCGCTCTATGGTTTCCAGTAGATCACACGTATCACGTAACTCAGCAGGCGCATCATCGTAGCTCGCGATGTTTCGAGATAACTCAGCATGCTAACAATCCCCCAGGAGTAGTAGCATTCAAGGTAAAAACATTCAATCAGTGATTAATAACTATTATGATGATTAATTACTCACTTCTTCTGCTATTCGAGTTATGTCTACAGGAGCAGGCATGGTCTGGATCAAGAAACAGGGCAGACAGAGACTGGTACTGGTATAATGTGAGTTGGTTGTCTCACTTCGAGATTGTGCTTTGAAGAGGCTACAAGCAATGGTTATTGATAAGAGGTGGACAACGGCAGTACTGGCAAGGTCTATAAAGGCGGAAGGCTGTCCTCCTGGTATGCAGGACGCTTTGTTGTGACTAGCTGCTGTACTGGTTGACGGAAGAGCGATTTGGACTGTATCGCCTCAATTTAGTAATTCTTTGATCACAAAGCACAGCCTCATCTATATTCTTTCAATTCTAACCACACGCAATGCCAGGAACCGGTCTCTTTCTCGCAAGGCAGTGCAAATCATACTAGATTTGTAAAAAAAAAAACTTCCCTTTCTTCCGAGCTGAACGAAGTCTACACACTATACACAGCCATTGTATGAGGAAGCTATCCGAAGGTTCAATCAACCTACATTATCAAACAATACACATTCTGTATCTTCTCAACATTCTCTGTGACTGTTTCTACCTTCTTTCCACCACGTTCATCCGATACAATAATAACATCAAGACTCTTGACCTCAGGACGATCAAACCACTCAAATCCTTTAGAGTTGAGGTTATGAGGCAACATTTGGCAGGTAAACTGGATAGCCACCATATTGCCATTTTGCGGGTTAAAAATCCAAGCATCAAATGTAAGATGATTGGCATACTTTAGAATGTACATGACACCCTCCATTGTCATTGCGTCCTTAGAACTGATGTTGACACGAGCCACTTCTGCAAATTTCCTTCTCCTGGAGAATAGTCTGCAGTCCTCATTATTCTCACTGGACTGCCCTTGTACCTAATAAGCAATGTGTACTCTGCTGCAGCTGGGTTGTGTACCCAAGCAGCCTTTGTTGATTATCCATGGCCTTGCTTTTTGCTCTTCTTCATGGACTGCATTTGCTACACCCCACCCTTCTGAAAACTAATCATTGCAATTGCCTCCAATAGGTAACCAGCAGCTGCTCTGGCTTTGGGACTTTCCAAGAAGAATCGGTAGAGTTCCTGGGCCTTTTGTTCCTCCATCCTCCAGAACGTCTTAATTACCAGATCTGCAACTGACTTGGAAGCGAATTCGACATAGAAATCAGAACGAGCATTGCCACTAGGCTTTGCGATGAGCGTCTTGTGAGAGTTATCGGTATAAAAATAGCCACTGCTCATCATCCTAATCGTACTGCTCAGGCCTTCCCGACGCACACGCACGATGCTCTGTATAACCTCTCTTTTGTATCCTTCCAGCGTACTCGAATGCTGCACGGGCATTAGGACCCCATTCGCGGAAGAAGAGCTGCAATTGGCGTTCCGTTGGTGGAATATCGGTAAGTTGAAAATGTCGCCTATTGGAATTATTATTGTTATACGATTTGTTTTCATGCTGAAGGAGAATAGCGACCTACGCTGCAATATATTCCCAAGACTCGAACGGATACATCCATTTAGTCACAATCCAACCGCATTTGCTCGTGAAAGCGAATCGTTGTTCTCGTGGTGAAGCTGCCACAATCAGCCTCCGTGAGCTTAAAAAACAAGCTTCAAGGAACAGATCAGGCGGTTCGATAATTTCCCTATTGCTATCCACCAGGAACCAGGTATGTTCTGGTAAGAATCGGATGCCTGCATTCATCTTCTCACAGGAAAACACGCCGGCTGCTTCGAATATTATGAACTCGTTCTTTTTCAACTGCAGGACAGTCGTTTGCCGTGCAAGAAGGCGTAGTGCAAGCACATACAAAAGAAATAATGTTTTCCCTGAAATACGAATGAGTGCAGTTCAACAAAAGAAACAACAGTAACTGGAAGTTGCTTCTCTCACCAATGCCGGGTGTTCCAGTGATAATAAGTCCGCAGATTATATCCCTCTGCCGGACTAATTTAACGTCCAGCCCCATGAAAGGATTGTGTGGAGGAAATAATTCTATGTCTTCAATCCTTTCGTCTGGTGCATAGCCAGCTCGCGCGCCAAAGCCTTCGCCAAAGGCATAGAAGATCCTGGACAACATTTTACGATACTCATCCCGCACAAAAATTCCACGGCATCCAAAAGGAAAAACAAGACATATGGAACCTCACCTTCAACGCCCCATCCTAGTGCGCAAGCCTTCTCCGGAATTGTTTCACTTGTGCGGTCCTCCTCCTGTGTGTCACGAACAATGTCTGCGAGGGCAAATACTGAAAGCGCGTTTTGCGACGTCCAGGTCTTGTCATACAACACGGCTAAAGATCCCTTGTACGAGTTGTTCCGCCTATCGACTTCGTGCGCTTCAACACCATGTTCAGTCAGGATGGACGAGGCGGTGTTATCGGACATAGTGGACACGACGAATAACACTATAGGAGGGTGCTAGGAGTCTAAGGCTAAGGACTCGGAGTAGGTCGCAGCTGCTATGCTGGAAGTCACGTGAATAATTAGTAACTTGACTGACACATGGGGCATTTTACAATTTCTTACCTTAAGAAATAACTTACATAATGATAAACATTATTTGTAATTTAGTTTACCATTTTTGGTTGGCAGAAACTCTGAACAGAATTTAAAATTTTTATTATACAAAAACTAGAAATTAATTTTAACATTTCCCTATTTGTAAAATCTTTAAATAAATGGAGATAATAATTTAAAACATAATTTAAAGTTTTTCCTATAGCAAAATTATAAATTTTCTTTCAGATTTAGTAACAAGAAAAATTTGAAATTTCATTTATAATATTAAATTGAATGAAATATTAAAATAAATTTAAAATTTTACTTGAGAGAGAAATGCTATAAAGAATTTAAAATTATTTTAGAGTAGGCAATCAATAGGCAATCACTAGGCAAGTAATGGGTAAGCAATAGGTAAGTAATAGGTAATCAGTAGGTGATCAATAGGCAATCAATAAGCAACTACCAAATAAAGACATTTTTGCTTCATTTGGTAGTTGCCCATTAATTACCTATTGATTGCCTACTGATTACCTATTGCTTACCTATTACTTGCCTATTACTTGTCTACTGACTGCCTACTTTGAAATAATTTTAAATTTTTTTTGGCATTTCTTCTCTAGGTAAAATTTTAAATTTCTTTTAATATTTTATAAGATTTAATATTATAAATGAAATTCTAAATGTTTTTTGTCTTAAAATTTGAAAGAAAATTTATAATTTTGTTTTAAAAGAAACTTCAAATTATGTTTTAAATAATTATTCTCATTTATTTTAAGATTTCACAAATAAAGATATGCCAAAATTAATTTATAGTTTTTGTCTAAAGAAATTTTTAAATGTTGTTTACAATTTCTATTAACCAAAAATAGTAAATTAAATTATGAATTATATTTAACATTATGTAAGTTATTTTTTAAGGTAAGAAATTGTAAAATGCCTAATGTGTGAATTACATAAGTAACATTATAGAACAACAAATAGTTGCTACTTCTTCTACTCTAACTTTAAAGGTATACTGTCATTCACTAGTCCTTAAACTATTACTACTCCTTGAACCACTTGTTACAATTCTCTACTCTTATACCTTCAGTTCTAAGGGTTCTACACTCTTCTATACTGGAACTCAGGACTTCTGTCCCTCAGAAGTACTGTCTATAGACTATATGTATACTGACTCTTACTACTACCCTTCCTTACTTTATTATTCTATTCCTTTAACTACCCCTTTATTCTTTGTTTATTCTATAGTCTTTTACCCTTTGTCCATCCCTTTATTCTTTGTACCTTTATCTTTGACCTTCCTTTCTTTCATTCTTTATAGCTTATTATTCTTAGTAACTCATACTTTCTAAGTACTCTTGTATAGTTTAGTATATATAGGTGTACAAGATTAGACTAGTTCTGTAGTCTTAATCTTGTTTACTCTAGGTAGTCCTGTACTCTTAGACTTACTCTATATACTCTACTCTTGTCTTACTCTCTCTCTCCACCTGTTCTATGAGTTCTAACTATGTTCTAGTACTTATATTCTGTATTTCTGTTATATAAGATAGTTGTAGCCTAAGTCCTCTTACTAAGCCTTTAGGTCCCCTCTACACTGTTACTAACATTAGATTAAGACTATCTATTACTACTCTACAACTCTCCTATGTTTTAAGTATTAGTACTTACTATTGTGTTAATCTCTTTTCTTTGTTCTAACCCTTTTACATTTTTAAATTTTAAACTTTTTAAATCCTTTTAAACTTTTGCCACCCTTCTTCTATTCATTACCCCTTTTAGTTTAGTACTGATTCCTTTGTAGTATAAACATAAACCCTCCTACACTGACTGCTACCCTTACTATCCTACTAGATTAGTAGTTACAAGTAGAACTAGCTTAATATGTATAGACCTCTATCTAAGAGGCTTTTACTAACTATATACTCTCAGCCTCTTTAGAACCTGTTCTAATTGTTTTAGAAGTTACAACCTGTTTTAGAAAGAAAGTGTATATAGTCTACCCTTTAGACTTTAATAAGTAACACTTTAAGGACTTCTAGTACTAAGTCAAACTATATGTAACTACTACTTTGACTAATCTATTCTTAGATCTTAATTGTGTCCTATTTGTCCTCTCCTTTATAAAGGAAGGTAACACAGCCACCTAGGCCTAAAACTGGATTGAAGGATATTAGATTAGAAGCCTAATCTGACTTTAGAACAATGAGTCATATTTGGAATTTATAGGACAGCTCTGTACTTCCTTTATTAATCTGAATAAGAAGTGTAATGTGTAGAACAAGCTTGTGTCTCTGTAACAGAGCAAACATTCTACTAATACCTTCTTTTAGGAGTTCAATATTCTGGCCTAGAAGGTAGGATTTATACTCAGGTTTAATAATGTTCTTATTAGAATACTTAAAAAAGCTCTTCACCTAGAACTAGTTAATAAGATTCTCAGAATAATATTAGAACTAGTTACTTATACTAAGTAGAAGACACATACTATTTCCTTCAACTAAGTTATAGCTTAGATATATTAAGTTTGTACAGAATGTTTATACATACATTTAACTCTAACAGTTCTAAACTCTTAAATTAATCTGCCTGTAATTTGTAATTAATCTGTTCTGATAAACATTAAAGAAGCCTGAAAGTAAAGAGTATACTTTGTCTACAGAAAGTTAGAGTACTAGATTAAGAACTGTCTACAGAAATAATAGTATATTCATTAGGTTATTAGAGTAATAATGAGTAACAAGTAGGATTTATAGTAAGAAGCCTTTTCTACAAATCTGGAAGTCACTTTAGAACTCTCAGACTCTAACTATATACTCTAGGATTTTGTAAAGACTTAACAGTAAATGTAACACTAAAGGGCTATAACTCAGATTTTTTAATGACTACTTTTAATTCAATAAACACTGTAGGATTAGAAGTAAATAAAGTAAGAAAAGTAGAAAAAGTAGAAAAAGTAG